GCCACCCCTGCACTCTGTACCTCTTCTCGCTTAGTCTTTAAATGGAGTGATCTGATTTTCCATTAGAAAAATTTGGGAGTGTATGCTGTCCTCCTTCAGTTTTGCAAGGCTTCAAGGATTTCATAGTATACCATACTATGCCTAAGGAAGAGCAGGTTGATTCAATGTCTGGTTTTAAATTTATTTTTTCTCTCTTGCACTATTGGCATCTCCAGCCTTCTTAGATTTGAAAAGTTCCATTTATCTTCAAGGTTAGATTGCTTGCAAAGTAAGTCTTTTGGCAGTAAAGGTTTGTGGATCTGCAGTTGAATTCACATCTGTCTTGGTCTTATTTGTAAGTTAAAAGTGTCTGTCTCTAGCCATATGTGAAAACATGAATTGAAATCAAATGTATATGTTAGGCAAGGCAACCTACATGATGCTGCATTAATGCAACCACTTTGTAACACATGCATCTGAATCACAGAAACTAGGCTCAGTAGAGGAAGCTGAACTGTGGAGCTGAGGGCACAGTCTTCCCTGAGAGGACACAGATAGCTTACAAGACTCATCTGTGGAGCTGAAATTGCCCCTGTGGCTAAGCAGATCAGGAGAGGCATCCCCTGTATGGTATCTAGTATCTAGTCCCTCTCCTAGCACAGCGGCATTTTACTGGCAGTGATGCGCTGGGGCTGCAGAGAAAGGGAAGCATTTGTTTTTCTTGTATTTCTTGTGCGTGTTTAGGTGAGATTAAGAATTGGCAAGATGCTAGTATTTTTAGTATGTTATATAGCTTCTGCTGCTGTTTTGATATGTTATGCAACTAATTTCTTTTTCTAGAAATAAAGACAGTGTCACAGACTAGGTACACCTTCAGCTATAGGTGCCTTAATCTGAGGTACGCTTCCTTAAGAACTTATTGCTTTCTACAGTTATTTACTGCGTCACCTGATTAAAGTTTCTTATGCATGGCAGAATACCTCTTTTGTGTTGATATTTCAAAAAGATAACTTTGCTGTGTTGAAGGGCCAGTTCTTTTTCCATACTGTAAACTTCTGTTAGTAATGCTGCATCAGCCAAGAGTATCAATAGATGTGACCCAAAAGACATTTAATGAGAAGGGAGAGAAGATGAGGAAATTCTCATTTCCTCCATCTGTCCCATCTGGTGTAGCACATGCCCACAGTCATAGGGCAGGGAAGTTACTTTACACCATCAGCACCAAGCCAGAAATAGTTTAAGGATAGAAGTTCAAAATCAAATTAAAAACAAAAAAAAGGAATATTGCAAAATTATTCTGTGCTGAACAATGTTCAGTACCAGTATGTATTTTCCCTCTCTTTTATGAGGTCTGCGGAGTGCAAAGCAAAGAAATGCGATAGAGACTGCCGTAGCATACAAAACCTTTGTCAAAGAAAGAGCATATGTATGTATGTCTGCCAGTGTTTCCATGTCAATCGTATATAAGCTGACCTTTGAAGTTCAGCGAAACGGCAAGGTTATGCTTTCTGGC